GGAGGAATATGTATTTTTCCAAGTCCTGACACACATTTTCGTTTTCATCTCCATTTATCCCCAAACCTATCCTCCACGACACCTGCAACAAACACGATTTTAGCCATTCGAGCCCTTCCAGCCAAGGCAGCCTTTTCGAGTGGACACAATCGACTCTGAAAACTACTACCGATACCCAAATCTGACGTCCGATTCGCTCGCCTCCCTCGGTCAAGAGCAGCCCATCTTCTCTTCGCCTCTTCTCAGGCCTTCGCTCGAGTCTGGCCGAGCGAACGAGTCGACCTGCGCCACACAAACGCAGCTGATCGCCACTCCTCTGGCCGTGGGCGATCGAGTGTTGGCGCTCATTGCACCGCCCATCGTCGACGCTCGAGCCGAGTTGGCCGTCAGTCGGAGTGGATCGCGAGAGTCTGGCGTCAACTGTTGCCACGTGTCGGTACAGACGTTGGAGCCGAACGATTGCTCCAGCCCTCCGAGGCTCTATGAGGCCTGGGCTCAGACGAGTCCTCATGACGATGACGATGACGATCTCGTCTTCGCTTCAAAACAGACGCCGGTGTCTAAGACACTGTATCCGTTGGCGATCGACCAACTGGCGGCTCGAGAGGAACTGGTTTCGCCCGTCGTCAGTCGACGGCGTGAGGAGACGTGGAGACCGGTGTCGGTTGGCGACCATGATCCGGATGCAGAGAGGTCGAGTCGTGTCGTGATCGACGATGACGAGGCCGAGCTTGAGGTGGGTGTGACAAATGCCGATTGTCAAGCTGAAATTGGCGGAAAGTCGAGGCCGATGAAGGACGCCGAGGGTTGTCTGAAAGTGGAGACGCGAAACGCGTCCTCGCAGCCAAAGACGACCGAGATCCGAGCCAGTGTGGAAGACGCAGAATCCTTTCTGCATTGTCGAGTGCGCAGCGTCAGTTGCGGAGACGAGATGATGGAGGCGAGACGTCCGGTGAGGGAGGACGAAGTGTGCGTTGAGGTGGCGAGCAGAAATGCCGGATCCCAACCGGCTCTTGAGGTGACGACGTCAAGAGCGACCAGAGACGACGAGGCCGGCATGCAAGTCTTGTCGGTGGGGTTCGGCTCTCAGTTCGACCTCGATGTGGCCATGTTGTCGCGGGATGCTCGTCTCAGCTCGGTCAACCCGTACCAGGCCTGGCTGGAGGAGAGCGAGGGCCCTACCGACCTCGGCATTCAGGCTGCGGCCGGACCCGTATCCAAGGCGACAAGGGGCCCGGTGCTACATGATGAAGTCGGCCTCGACGTGGGTCAAGTCGCGGTGTTTGCTCAAACCGACGTCGCAGACGCGAGACTCGAAGAGACGCCGAAGCGCGGCGAAACTCGCCACGTCGTCATGCACACCTTCAGCCAGACGTCGGGTCGAGGCCTGATCTGTCCGAATTGCGGAGTCGCGGGTTCCGTGGCGGTGGGACTCGAAGAGGCTTCGAAGCGGCGGCGCTGCAAGCGCATCCAGAAAGGGCCGTCCGCCCTAACGGCGACGGCAACGACGGAGACGGAGGCGGAGGCGGAGACGCCGGTCGCCCAGCAGCACTCGACCTACGCCTCGTCAGACGCTTCGTCGATGCGATTGACGCCGGAGCCGTGGCCTGCAGCGCTGGGTTCGAGGCCCGCGGAGCCGCCGGCTCGGGCCAGGGTGTACCGAAGACGACGACCGGCCAGCCACCACATCTGCCTCAGCCTCTGTCTGGACGGCGAGGGTCACTTGCACGTCGACTCGATGACGCGACACTCCGGACCGCCCGGCCAGCCGGACCAGCCGTCTCGACGTCACGAGACTTCATCGCCCGACGATTCGGCGGCGCCGACCTCTGATGGCGACGACGTCGAGTCGCCGGCTCTGCGGGACCGAGCGACCCGGAGCGCCGTGCTCCAGCGTCGTCGGAGTCGGTCGGCCGAGGAATTGTTCGACCCTGCAGTACCGTCTCGCCGTCGCCGTCGCAGTCGCAGTCTCCACCTCGCCCGCCATCGTCACGCTGAGCCGTTGATGGGCTGTCGCCTTGACGCCGATTCGGTGAACTGTTGCGTCTGCCGGCATCTGGGCCTGTTGAAACCGGAGGCCGGACTGGAAGAGGCCTTCCATCGTCTTGTCGCCGAGTGGGGCATCTCGGGCTTGCAGCAGCAGGTGGAACAGCTTCGTCTGCGCAGACAATGCGCCCGACCGGCAGACGAACCCGCAGCCAAACCGGTCAACGCCAGCTTGTAGCGCCACGGGTTCGAGTCTAGCAGATCTTCTCTCTTTTTAAATCTATTTGGCTCGTGTAGTGCCGATTTCTGCCTTCAGCCCTACTGGCCCCGGCAACACCCACTCCCACCCCGTCGCCAGACAGTCCCTCTTCTGATTCCGTTGGGCACCACATGCACACATCATCAGTCCATACAGAGGAGCACACACATACACACTGATTCTGAGGCTCCTTAATCGCCCTGAATACAATTATCCCCAGGAGTATAGCCTCACTATTATTAATATTACTATTATTATTATTATTATTATTATTATTATTATTACTATTATTATATTATTATTATTATTATTACCAAAAAATTAGCCCTTTTACTCTTTACTGAATCGCCGCTTTAAC